TGTGTGTGTGTGTGTGTGTGTGTGTGTGTGTGTGTGTGTGTGTGTGTATGTAAGCTTCTTAGGAGAAACTACTGTAGATTTTTACAGAGAACTATAAGCTAAAAGCTATCATTGCATTCTCTGTCTTCCCCAGAGCTTTCTGGGTACAAAGTCTAGAAAGGACCTAGGATTGCTAGCAAATTCTTAGAATGTGTTTAAATCCACATTCATTTACCTCCTCCTTTACCCTCCGTGTAAGTTGTCTGTTAAGAGACTCTCTCTATCACACAAAGAACAATAGAAGTTGGGTGTTGGATTCAAATAAATATTTAATTCATGAAAATAATCTTATATGTTCCAAAACACACTTTAAAGATATTTTGGTCCTCCAGAAAGCACCCATTACAGGTAAATTACACAGAGCTCTACCTCAGCATCAGGATTACCATTAGTACAAATTTTAGGCTTGACAAAGACCAGTAGATAATGTTAATTTCAGATCCAGAAACTAAATATACTCTGTGCCTTTTTATTACTCCTTTTTCTCTTAAGTTTTATCGGCTGCTTTTCATCTTAACAATATGTCTTTACATCGCCATCACAGTGCACTGTAATGATATTAATATTTTATAGAATCGGTATTTATAGTTCTTTATTTAGAGACAATGCAGTAGGTCTGCAGATCCAGAGCCCGTCTGGAATGGTGCCCTCCAAATAATGATGAATTGCTTGTGCGGAATGCCATTTGCTAATTATATCCATGATTTACTGTGGAGCAAGGCTTAAATCATTCATTTCAGTCTTGCGTAACAGTGCCATAGAATTTTTAGGTTTAAAAATGGTTTCCATGTGTATAATTTAAACAAATTCTAGCACTCTTGTATACACAAAATATTCGCAGCCACTCATTTGTTACATACTCCGTCTCTTTAAACTTCTACTTTTAATGATCACTGTGGTCGAAATTATTATGCTTAATTTTCATAATCATAGCCTTTAAATCTACAGCCGTTCTCACATGTTAGATAAAGAAAAAGATAGCTAATTGTGTGTAGATGGTATGTCATCCCTCAATAGTCCCCAATGGTACAAAATCATTAAAAAAGCTTAAGAGCACAAATTATTCTTCTATTAAAAAACAGTCGTTCTCTAGCTAATTATTAGTTTGGGCTGCTTTGTTTCAAAGAACAAATGTTGATCCTTCTAGCCTTGTTCTGCACTCCAAAAATGAGATAAACACTTGGTTTTTCTCTTCCATCGATATCTTGCAGGTGAGAAACCCTACAAGTGTCCTCACTGTGACTATGCTGGCACCCAGTCGGCATCCCTGAAGTACCACCTAGAGCGACACCATAGGGAGCGGCAGAACGGGGCCGGGCCACTGTCAGGACAGCCCCCGAACCAAGAGCACAAGGACGAGACCTCCAGCAGAGCGCCTGTGTTTATCAGGCCAGACATCCTGCGGGGGGCTTTTAAGGGTCTCCCTGGAATCGACTTCAGAGGTGGCCCTGCCTCTCAGCAGTGGACATCAGGCATGCTCTCCTCTGGAGATCACTCAGGGCAGGCCACTGCCATGTCCTCAGAGCTGTCTTCAGATGCCCTAAAAGGCTCTGACCTTCCTTCCAAAAGCTCCCACTTCTCAGAGATCGGAAGGGCATATCAAAATATCGTGAGCAATGGTGTGAACTTCCAAGGGTCCCTGCAAGCATTCATGGACAGCTTTGTCCTCAGCTCTTTGAAGAAAAAGGACACAAAGGACAAAGTCCCATCTGATGCCCATTCCGTGAAAGCCCACACTTCGGACGGTGGAGAGGAGAAAGCCAGCGGGAAGACCTCCCAGCGAAAGTCTGAGAAATCTCAGTACGAGCCTCTGGACTTGTCTGTGCGGCCAGATGCCACCGCTCTGCCCGGCTCCTCCGTGACCATGCAAGACAGCATTGCGTGGCACGGCTGCTTGTTCTGCGCTTTCACCACATCGTCCATGGAGCTCATGGCCCTTCACCTCCAGGCCAACCACCTAGGCAAAGCAAAACGCAAAGATCACCCCACAGGGGTAACAGCCAACTGCAAAGAACAGGTGCGAGAGGCCAGCAAAGTCTCTGCCCTGCCCTCCATACAATCAAACAAAGAGATGGCCCTTTCTAGCACTGTCAGCGCTCTAGACTCTGCCCCTGAGAAGATGGCCCAAGGACCGGCCAAAGAGACTCTAGGGGACCAGAAGACTGGTCAGTGGCCCAATCACATGGACCCTGCCTTTTGTACCTTTCCGTCTGACTTCTACAAACAGTTTGGCGCTTACCCCACTATCATTGGCTCAGGGCACCCTGGCTCCGGCCCCAACAAGAATCCCGACGGGAAAACCCTCCCGGAAGATGACGCCCCTATTCTGATACCGGAAACCACCAATAAAAACACTACTGACGACCTCTCAGATATCGCCTCCTCGGAGGACATGGACTCCTCTAAGGGAGAAAACAACGAGGACGAGGAGATTGACACCGAACCAGAAATGATGAGCAAGCCACTATCTGCTCTCAGCAAGGATGGCAGCAATGAGGGCAGTGACAGCCTGCTGCCTCCGGGCGCCCCCCAGCCCATCCAGGGACTGGTCTCACCCTTAGCCCAAGCATCAGAGGAACAGTGGCACAGCCCAGGCCTCCTTCCTGCCCAGGACCCCTCGGCGGGGCTGCCAAAGCCGGAGCGGGGTCCCCCAGGCTTGGAGAAACCTATGAGCATGCTGTCGGTCCTCAGGGCCTACAGCGCCGATGGCTTAGCAGCCTTTAACGGGCTTGCAAGCAGCACAGCAAATTCTGGATGTATCAAGAGGCCAGACTTGTGTGGTAAGTTTTAGAATCCTCTTCCTTCAGTTCATTTCCCCCAAAACATCACTGCTAAATTGTGCATTAAACAAAACAAAACAAAAATGGGTTTATGTACCCATTAGCAAATTTTAAACTGAACCTTAAAAAAACAAAAACAAAAAGCCAGCACTGTTTATACAGTGTAGACAATCATGAAAATCAAGTTTCATTGTTTTGAAATTCGTACTTTTGGGGTCCAACTTTCTGTGCAATGCCTGTACAGAAGGCATGGGAAGGAGACAGTACCTCAAAGTGCGAACTTTCCCCTCGTTTCTCATGTGTAAGTTGAGGAAGGGAAGAAAATTCTCCTAAGAAACAAAAACAAACCAATGTGGCGACTTGCAAACTTCCCTGTATTTTAACTCACTCAGAAAAAAAAAAATATGGCTAAAGATAATCTCACATTGCTTTTCCAACCCAAATCTGCTTCCCTGAGCTCCTCTTATTGACTTAGAGGATACTAAAAATCATCACATTAACTCAGTGTGGCTAGGGGTCCTCTCTCCAGTTTAAGGAGATGGCTTTGCGGTGTTTGTGACTCACCTGGGACATATCAAATGGCAGTTACTGTGACTTTGGCCTTCTGCTGTTGTTGCCTTCTGTCTGTGTCTGTCCGTCCAGCCTGTCTCTCCGTCGTCCTGATAAGAAACGTGCATTGTGAAGTCTGGTCAGCAGCGTGGTGACCCTACCTGTCTTGAATTTATGCCTGTCTGATCTTGTAAATCAGCACCCCTTTCCCTCCTTCAAGAAACTGTTACCCCATAGTAACTCCAGATTTTTCAAAGCACAATCCCAGTCCTGAGTTGGATCAAGTGGATACTGGAATGAGCAGGGACGATGACCAGCACGTCCTTGGCACCTGGCAGTTCATATGCAAAGTCTAGCCTGAAAAAAAAAAAAAGCAGCTCAATATATTGGTCCCTTTGAGCCCTCCCGGCCCAGAAAGCCCACTAGAGACAAGCGGCATGGGACTCAGCATCTACTCTGTGAATGAATTTCTGAGATTACCCCCCTTCCAACCTCCTTCTTTCGTAGAAGGAAGGAAAAGAGGAAAGGAAAGGAGGGAACGATGGGCACAAGGGAGCATTTCTAAACCTCGCATCCCAATCCCTTCAGCACAGAGCGGAAATCATGAAGCTAGGCTGTTTATCTAAGTCGATAAATTTCTTTTTGTTTTTCTGTCATTCCCTAATTCACTAAGAAGTGGATCAAGCAGTCAGAAATATCTTTTTGAATTGTCAAAAATCACTAAATGGATTTATGACAGCTCAAAAAAAATATTGATGGTTCTTTATACTGAATGATTCACACGGTCCCATTAGCCAGTACCCCGGATCTATTTTTAGCCATGTGCGATTCATTACTCTTGAAGCTGTTAAAAACAATATTTAAAAGAAGAAGAGAAGGGATTTATGTCTGTCCAATATCCCCCCTTCCTTCTGAAGAGATGATATTTAAGTCTTTTTCTCTCATTTGTTTTAGGTTTGGTTGGAGTGGTTTTATAATTATTAGTAGTATTTTTGTTGTTGTTGTTTGAGGTTTTTTTTTTTTTTTAAGTCTATTTTCAGTCTTTCAATTACCTACATAGGACCATGGTTCCTGCCAGGAATCCACGAATCAGAAAAGATCAAAACCTGGCATGTGCATGAGCTCATTATTATTGAAATGAGCTCATATTACCCCCATTAATTTTCCCATCTTCCTATCAGTATGGAAGAAAGGCTGCGTGCCTTGAGGAAGCTTGTCCAGTGATGTCCTTTTGCATCAGGCAGTGGGCGGAGGAGGCAAATGGGGAAGGGAGGTGCTGGTCTCCTGAGATTTATACAGAGCTGGCAGGAGTTCCTGATCCCCTCCCCAAATATCACAGAGTTCACCTAATATTTTCATGGTATATGCAAAAACAAAACAAAACAAAACTCCTCAGTCAACTTGTAAGTCCTTAGGCCACAGACACTGGGATGCAAGCCATGGTCCCTCTGTATTGAAATGTATGGACACACTTGGACCAGTGAGGGAGGAAGGCTTCCTGGTGGTTTCCCCAGCCAAGGATCCAGCTCTTCATGCCCTAAAATTCCAAACCTCACTCTGGACACTGGTTCTCTATTTTCAGGGAGCGTCACTTCAGCATTTTGTTTGGCCACATTTCTTCTAGAAGCCTCCGCTGTGGTTTGGTAGCAGGTGGGATGGCTCTTCCTTGTCTTCTGGTCCCCAAGCATCAGACTGAGCATAACTGATTATAAATCTCATATCTTTGCTGGACATGGTCATGTCCTAGAACCCAGAAAAGCAGCTGTCATCCTGGTTTTGAATTGATATTTCAGAGGGAAACAAATGCAACTTTCCTTTCCTCAGTCTAGTTTCCTCTCTTGATATGGAACAGTCTGCGTACTATAAGTTCCAGACCACCACTGGCTTCAAGGCACAGGGCATAAAATATCCCGAACCTTTATCTCTTCTCTGCCCTGCTTAGAGTAGATGTGACTTTGCAAACAGGTCTATCCAATCAACAGCTACTCTTCCTCTCAGAGCTGGGCTTTGCCAAATCAATGCCTTATTTTGAGATTCGTTATGTCAGAGTTTAGAGCCTCATTTCATCTGTTCAGTCAGCCTAGAATCAATCCCATCTGGATGCCCCTAAAAGAAAGTCCTTCTCTATGAGGAAGAACTCTCTTCTCTTACAATGTAAAAGTACTTGAAAAACAATTTGTAAAAACTTTGCCTGCGTCATGTAGACCCCTACAGAACTCAGGAACTCCTCTTGTACCTACCAGCAAATCAGAGAATATATCTCTCCTGTTGTATGTAGGAATGTGTGTTGAAAGTTGTATACCCAGGTGATATGTTAATTACTGTACTGATGCTTCCTAACTTTCAGAACTTTAGTCCTAACCCCCTGGGTGTTTGGATCTGAGGTCCTGGCCAGTGTGCACCAGCCATTTATAGCTAATACATTCTGACTTGGGCGCAGCAGAGAGAGCAAGCTGATGGAGAGGCCACACCATCCTGTTGGGTGAGGAGAGTCCCAAAGCACAGCCCATGTGGAAGGCAAGATGGTAACATTCAAGAGAACCTTGCTTAGGGGCTGGGATGTCAGTATGTCAAGGGCTTGTTAGAGATGATCCTGTGGGAGTTCCTGAGTCATCTCAGAATCAGTTAGAGGACAGTTATTAAGTCACTTTTAGAAAGAGTCAGGCCCCACTGGTCTGATCTTGTTCCATGACATTCTACTCTAGCCAAAACTTTAGCTTTTGGAGGTGACTGTGAGGATCCAGGCCTGTCCTGTACTCCCCTTATTATGTTGTACATCTCAAGAAGGGTAAAGAAGTGCCACCAGGGATATGTCCTTTGTATTATTAGAGTGGATCTGACCTTGGCTTTGCAGTGGATTCATTCACATCAGCATTTAAGTAGGCAGCCAGTGAGGGCTAGAGCTGTGTCTCTCTACTAGCAGGCAGGGCAGACAAGCTCCTTGTCCAGCCTGAGGAGCTACTGCAGAAATGTTGCTGAGAGATCCAGGAGAGTGTGAGAGGCACAAGCTTGGCATACGCACAGACAGTACCTCCAGTCTGCAGAGCACCTGGAGGGTGCTCTGAGACTTGAAGAAACGCTGAAGACCCCATTTCATCCCAGGGCTTATGTTTGTGGGGATCAACCAAGTTGCCCTTATCCCTTGCTTTTTGAAACTGAGGCAACCAGCCAGAGCTGTCTGGAATTGTTAGCTTTCTCAAACATGATTTTCTCCGCCGTTTTTCCTGAGTACTCAGGGCTAGTACTGATGATATACAACTCTTGTCAGGTTAGGGGCAGGGGGAGGCACAATTCCTTTACCCTTAGCTCTGTGCTGGGATTGTCACCACTCACGGGTGGTGGAGGACCCATCAGCATGTCGACTGTGGTGATGAGATAAGATGTGCAGTGGCTGTCAGGCCATGTGATCCCCCTATGGCTGGGAGGAAGCCAGTGGGAAGGCATAGTTTCAACAGGAATAGCTCCAGTATTCCCAATGCCTTATTCTCAGCAAGTTGCAAAACTGCCCCAACCCAAACTGTGGAATGAAGGCCCTCTGCCTTTTGACAGGATGAAAGAAAGGGGGCCTATCTTCCATCACCAAGGTGGTGGTACCAAAACCTCATTACGTCATGTGTTCTAAAATATGATGTGATGTGATGAAACACAACAACCCAACTAGACTATTTCAAAAGGTGACTGCTGTCCCACCATGATTTCTTTGCACACTGACAGTTTGAAACATCTACCACTTTTTCAGCTGCACAGCCTAGAGCCAAAGCTCAACATATACTTTCTGAAGGGCCAGAGGGTAACCATTTTCAGCTTACAAACTCTCTTATTTTGATTCTGTTGTGCTGGGTAGCACTAAATAAGCTATGAACAGTATGACTGTGTGCCAGTAAAACTTTATGAATTAAAGCAAGGGACAGGCTAGAACTTGTGGCCCTCTAGTGTAAAGAGGGATGTGCTCTTGGGTTATTTCCAGAAGAAGAGATGGAGATGCCTGCCTCTCACTGTTCCAATGCATAGAGATATGATGCAAGCAGGACTCTAACCAGCCAATGCAGGACTCCATCTGCTAAATAGACCATCCACAGGGTTCTCTCTCTCTCTCTCTCTCTCTCTCTCTGTGTGTGTGTGTGTGTGTGTGTGGTGTGTACTTCCAGAAAGGTACGCCTTCCTATCCCCTCACAAAACCATAAAAAGGGGTAGAACATCTGTGGCTTAGTTTAACAACAGTGAGAAGTACAGTAGAGAGAAGTACAGGAAGAAGTACAGGAAAGAATTAAGATGACAGACACCTAAGAGCCTGGGGCAGATGCTCCCAGCTCAGATGATTGTCCACCTGAAGGTACAAAGAAGCAATGGCACATCCCTTTAGCACTAAGATGGCACCAGTCTTACTTTTCATCAGTGTGATGGGAAGTTTTCGTTTCTCCCTGCCCCATTCCACAGTCAATTCACAGGAAGGTTATCTTGAAAGATGACACCGGCAGCTTTGTGATGCCAACAGCCCAGTAGCCATGCTATATCTATTTTAGCTCAGTTCAGTTTCAGACGTAAAGCAAATGCTAAGGGGGGTAAGAAATAAGTCCTGTCTACTTGTTTTGTTTTTGTTTTGTTTTGTTTTTTTTTTTTTTTCCTCTCTTCTCTCTTCAAGAACTGGCTAAGGTCTGTGGCCAGGCAAAGAACCCCATGACACCTATTCTTGTTAGGGTTTCTACTGCTGTGATGAAACACCATGACCAAAGCAACAAAGGGGAGGAAAAGTGATTATTTCAGCTTATGCTTCCAGGTAACAACCCATCCCTGAAGGACGTCAGGGCAAGAACTTAAAACAGGGCAGGAACCTGGAGGCAAGAGCTGATGCAGAGGCCATGGAGGGGTGCTGCCTACTGGTTTGTTCATCATGGCTTGTTCGGCCTGCTACTTTATAGGACCCAGGACCACTCACCCAGAGGTGCTACCACCCACCATGGCTTGAGCCCTTAATTAATCAATGATTAAGAAAATTCTCTACAGGCTTGCCTCCAGCCAGATCTTATGGAGACATTTTCTCAATTTGGGTTGACTCTAGCCTGTTGACATAAAATTAGCCAGCAGGGCACCCATTGCTGGTATATGAAGCACCACAAGTGCCAAATAAATGGCATGCAGATGCCTCGGCATGGCTTGTGTCGAATTGCCAGTGGCGGCTGATACGTGCTGTAGACCTGAATCCAGTAGGGTGCAGTAGGAAAGTGACACAGGACAATAACCACAAAGTTCCATTTTGCAAAGTGTGTGGGTGCCCAGACAAAATCCAGCCAACCCCAGGGAAAGCAAGTAGTCCGGGAGTGGAGAGAACTGAGGGTGCCCTGCTGCCCTATTCAGTGCTGTGATGCTTCACCTGCCCGAAAGCCAAAGCAGCCTGAAACTGTCCTGAGAGGCTGGATAAGGTACTGTACTCCCCTCGTGTCCTTGCCCAACCTGACCAGTTCTGGATTTGTGCCAACCTCCGTGGTCCATCCCACTCCCTGGCATAGTTTTCCCAGTAGGAAGGACCATTTGACCTACTGTAGGGCAGAGCCTCATAAGTTCCTAGACATCATCACCTCATTGTGCTTGCCAGGCCCTGCTGACTGCCTCACAGCTGGTTAGAGGGTCTGTCCCTGACTGGTGGGGCCAGTCATAGGTGACATCCTGTAGGTAGGCTCTTCTGACACTCCGGGGAGACTCTTCTCTGCCCTCACCCAGAGCTGTGTTGTGGGTGCCATGACTGACAAAGAGACAGCCAGCCGGTCTGATGACAGCTCTTTCCTTCAAATCTCACAGTATTCTTTTCCTCTCCTTCCCTCTTTTTAAATCAAAGGGAATGGGACTGGTGTGATGTCGTTTGCACGGCAGGATGACAGAACTGTTGTGGGGATGCCATTGTGTTTGCCAAATGGTCCACTCGTCATTTCAGAACAAACAAATGGATGGTGTCTGTGAGTCGGCAAACACTGGTGACATTTAGCCTTGTTTATGTTTCTTGCCTTTTGCTCCATCGTTTTGGCTCCGAAAAGCTACTGTCTGAATCAACATTGCCTCCGAAGCTGGAGAAAAGTCTGGTAGAGTTCATCTTGGTGGCTGCGTCCATATTTCTTTAAGGATTGCACAAAACCAAGGAATCGCAGCCAAGTGTTTTTCTTTAAAAAAAAAAAAATCTGTATACTTCTCCCCTTTGAGAATGAGTGAAGATTGGGAGTGGGGAGGGGAGCTGAGGAAGAGTGCTGTCAGAACAGGAGCATCCTGGTAGAATCCAAGCTCTCTGTCGTCTTCCATCTCAAGTGGGAGCTGTGCAGCCCTGCTAGTATGTGCCATGGGTACCGGATGCCTGGGCTAAAGCTTTGACCTCAGCTTCCTTAGTTTGCTGAATAGCAGTGCTACTTGGAAATGACAGCACAGTCTATCCAGACTCAGGTCATAGGTCAGCTGCAGAAGGAATCATATGGCTTGCTTGCTTGCTTCTCTCTTTCTGTCTGTCTGTCTCTCTCTTTTTTTTTTCAGATGTTTTGTACAAAGCCCAGGTTTCAAATAACGTAGCAATTATGTCCTATTTCTTAGTGCTGATCAACAATACCTCTATACCTAATTGCCAGCCTGCTATAATCACATAGCCTATTCTTGCTTTTGCCAGTGACAGAAAGACCAAATTTTATAAATACCACTCTGTTGTCATCCTTCTATTAAACAGTAGGGACTATGGCCCTGCCCTTGCTTTCAAGAGCCTCTAGCCCCAAACAGTTTCTGGATTAATAAATCTACACATTTTCTTTCAGGTAAGTGACACCCCATGTCCTAGTCGATCTGTCTGGACTTCCCCTTGTCTGTTCGTGCTCCTTCGTGGTTTATCTGCAGCTTGTTAACCGTGCAAAGTCAACAGAAGAATGTACGCACATACATGTTTTGAGTAAATAATTCCAACTGGCACAGGTATGTGTGCACGCACAGCACACCAGCCTGCAGTCTGCGTAGAGTCAGGGAGGTTGAAAATGTCGCCCCCACCCAGATGTTTCCCTGATAGTAATGGATGCAAATGCTTAGCAACCTGAGTGAGAAAGGAGATTCACAGGTCCCAACTGACAGTTGGGGGGGGGGGGAAGGCGAGTTCCTGGATCAATGAAAACCTGGCTGGAGCAAGTGCTCGTGTCGGACCAGCAAACCTGGGCTCACAGGGCTGGGCCCCATGATAGTCTCGTCAGCATTCCTTTCTTGTGTCTGATTGTCATGTATTTTGTAACACTTTAGAAGAATACAGAAAAGTGCAGTAATTACCTTTCTCCATAGTATTTAAGCAGAAATATTGCTAGTTTAATATTGTGTCAGGTTGTCGTATAAACCAGGAACAGGTGACAGTAAAGGCCCATCGAACAGCACTCTGACATTCACAACTTAAAAACGGCGATCGGAGCGAAATGTGTAAACGTGTACCGGGTTATCCTGTGCTTTGGAATAGACTGTTGTTGAAATAATTAGACGATATATTAAGGTGTTCCTGGTAATGAAGGCATGTAAGTTATCATAATTGTAGTTTTCTGCATAAGTGTCAAACTCTATCTTTCCGTGTGCTGTATGCTGAGTTACAAGTTAGGTCATTTATGAATGGAATGTAAAACAATACTAAAAATGCTTCAATAAGTTATCTTGGTATTGCTAATAAAAAAAAAGCTGTGAAACATTAGTGCAGTTTTGAGTCATTATGTTAATTCATACCACAACACCCCTTCACCCCTCACATTCTTCTCTCAGCAGGGAGCCTCAGCAGGACATTTTGGGGAACAGGCTCCTCAACTTCCCATTCATCTTCAGATGGCCCTTTTACAAGCAACAATTTACAAACAGGCAAAGAGGCAAGCGGCTTCTCTGCTTTGGTGAGACAACTATAGCGGGCACCAGAGAGCACAGTGACACATGCCCATCTCTCTCTACTTGTGCTTCAGGCAGGTTTCTGAATCGTAGGACCCCTGGAGAGGAGATCAAAGGCACAGACTCCACAGGCCATTGTACCCAGGGTCAAAATTGGAAAAGTCCCTCCCCCAGTGGACCACGGGTTCCTGCATGCTGTGACAGACAGTCTTGGACGGGTTAGGGATGTTTGGGGACATTTCCATCCCACTTAGATGTTTTGGCCATGGCCTCTGTTTGTTGTTTCTGGCGTATTCTTGTCCCACCATGGCTCATCAAGGGAAGAGAAGCAAAAAGGGAAGGACTTGTGTTTTTGCATTGCCTGGTTTCATTGTCCCGTGAGCTGGGATTTCGGGTGGGTCCTCGCCTTTCAAGCTTCCTAGCTTCAGTATGTTCTACATACTGAACCTCCCAATTTTGCACACACTAACTGTCCTATGGGGGACAGGTTATGGAATCCAAAGGTCCAAGAATTACGTACATCTTCAAATGGAGTGCCCAGTGCGGGGGTGGAAGTCAAGAAATGTGCTTTAGGACATTGTTCTCAACCTTGGTCTTGGTGACAGGACAAAGGTGTCACCCCCAACTACAGGAAACAGTCCACCCAGTATTTCTCATAATAACCACTCATTATCTTGACCCCTAAGGTCACAGCGCAGCATCAGGGCGTCTCTATCTAGAGGAAGGGACAGAGAGTAAGACCAGGGCCAAGAAGATGTGAGGAGAGGCCCAGTGGGAAAGAGAGGTCTTGGAGGTTTCTAACCTTCCCAGTGTCTAGTACTCTGGACCGGGGGCATTTTCTAGATTCCTGTAGGTAGCACTGAGGTCACACTGTGGGTTCCAGTGGACAAAAAGGGCAATCCCCAAATGGCTAGTGAAGGTGAAGAAGGGTACTCTCCCCTCCAGGAGCCAGATCCACATGGCTACAACTAAGCCACAATGCCAGCTCCACGGGGTGCAGGCTGAACTGGCACAAAGCCAACACAGGAAGACCTCCATCTTCTTCTCTGAGGGTTCTGACTCTGGGGAACTGTCCTGAGAGAAATGGAGCATAAGAGGGTGTTTCACTTACACCTTCTCCTGATGTGTCCCCCACCCCTAGGCTGAGCACATCATCCCCAGCTTTGCCCATCATTTAAAACCATTTCCTTGAAACTCTCCTTGAAACTGCAGATACCACCACACCTGCTGGGTCGATCACTGTAGTTTGGGAAAGGCATCTGAGGGGACCTACTGCAGCCTGATGGGTCAGAGCTTGGGAGGGGCAGGAGGGCGTATGAAGTAAGGGTGGAAGGAGGCACAGAAATATCCCTTATCTTCCACCCCCAACACTGACAGCTGGGAGGGCTCCCCTGAGCCACATATCCAGGCATGTGCTGTTCTGTCTTCCTCCTTTCGGAGCCCAGTTCCTCTCATGGGGTCTCTAAGCAAGAAGGCTTGGTAGCATTTCCTCTTCAGAAGCAGGGTATTTCCTGAGTCGCTCCCCAGTGGTAACTGATGAAGCTTACAAGAGACCTCCACGGATTCCAATTCTCCTATTTTTATGAACCCAGCCCCAGCCTCCCTGGATCCCCCTCCCCCTCATTTTGGGACACCCACCTCATCATGCCTTATACTGTTCTTCCTGTCCCTGCCCACTTCCTCCTCCTCACCGCCACCTCTGGGTAACAAGCAACTCCCATCTCACCAGTTGAATGTTCTTGGGAGCATCCTGTCTGCTGCCTGCAAAGGGAGCCACTTAGACCCAGGCCTCTGGGACGTTGAGTCAACTTCATTTCACAGCTCTGCATGGAGGCCGGTAATTCTGCTTCTGGTTGGCTGGTTTGTCACCCCCAAACTCTCCACCTGACCCATCCAGCCCCACATGGGACTTAGACCTGGGGCAAACACACATAACCCCCTTTGGATCTACCTTTATCCTTATAGCCTAGATTTTTTTCCAAGCATGGGTGGCTCTCTGCTTTGTGGTACATGAGAGACCCCAAAGAGTGCCCATCTGTGGGACAGAGGAACAAGAAAGTGTCTAGCTTCAGATGCACGAAGCCAAGAAAGGCGAGGAGATTTGTAGAAAAGCTGCTTACTCATGTCTCTGTTCACACATTTTTGGAAGTATGCATATATACTTCAATGAAATTTTGATGCTGGGTAAAGGAGCAAATCTAAATTTGGGGCCAGATTAGCACATGCCTATGTCTGTTTTTCTCAGAGAAACTTCTCAATGATTAAATACACAGGTGCACACTGACGATAGTGTCCCCGAAATGAGCAGAGTCTGAGCCCATTCCAAGGCCCAAGTCAAGGAACGCTGCAAAATTATTAAATCTATATTATCAAAAATAGGCATTTGAGTGCATGGATGCTGGCTGGTTCCCTTGTCTTTCCTACTCTCTGTGCTGACCAGACACACCCATTTAGTGCAAATGTGGTCACAAAGCCACTTTCCTTCCTTGAATTTCTGTTGTTGTGGGATTTACATAAGATGCTCTTAGTTATTCATATACAAGGAGAAAGACAACCAATCTGGGAAGGCAAATTGCAACTGATTTACCAAATTGTTGCTTTTTATATGACAGACAAATTGCTCTTCAGTTTTGAGCCCAATGGTTGGTATGTCCTGGGAGGAGATCTGGGGCTAACCACTAAGAAAGGCTACCTAAAGAGGGGCTTGGGGGGTGCTTGGCTGGGTGGCACAGTAGCCTCTGCAGTTGGGTAATTAAGAGTCCACACTCCAATGAGCTCTTTACTCTTAAGGAAAGGGACCATAATTTCTTCAACCGTTTCAGATTCCCTTGGTGACACGGTTAGGATCACCCCAAAGCAGATCTTTAGATCATCTAGATGCAAATAGTTGATACAGGAAGAAATTGAGAGTGGTGTTCCTGAGAGGGTTGCCTCCATAGTAGACATGGGAAAGTTTTTTTTTTTTCACCCTTCTCGTTTTATTGTAGACTATAACAGACCTGCCAGAGCCAAGGATGAGTGCAAATGAATTAATTTTGTGGCTCCTGGTAGGAAGTGAACTGCAGATTTTAAATGCTGAGATGTACCCAGCATTTCAGCTTAGGAGCAAGTTTACCAGGGTCACAAAGTCAATCTGGGGTCAGGCGACCAAGCATTTGTCAAAAGCCACGTTCCAAGGAGCTCCAAGTAACTCAGGTCTCCTTTTGGATGTCATTTCTCTGGGGAGCAGGCAGCCGGGAGTGCCTCTTTGGTCTCCAACTCTATGTCTTTCATGGCCTCCCATGGTCTTGATCTTTAGATGATATCCTACACCCAGCAAGCATTACAGTCCTCATGATACTCACCAGATGGCCCTTAGGCCCAGCTGGTACTTCCACAAACCTGTCAATATACAGGACTCAAGCTTGGGCAAAGGCATTTACTACTCTAGGTCATGGGACATACCAGGCCTTGAAAGAATTTCTCCTAAATCATTAGAAGATCACCTAAGAGTTTCTCACTTAATCCCAGAAGACATTCACCACAGAAAAGCAAAAGGGAGTCCACTAAGCTGGGTTGTTAAGATTCCTCAAAAATGGGAGAAAAAGCTGAGTCTTCATGGAGTTTTTCTGTTTCAATCCCTTAAGTTTACAAGCGGGCTTGAGTTATTTAAAGATTATTAAAGGTTTCTAAGCAATATACAGGAATTATAATTTCTATTTTGTAATTTATCAACCCGCTGAACCAGTGTGTCCCCATTGGACATACATGTCCCATGGCCTGCCACTTCCACCCAACGTACAGAGCCAGTGTTCTGGAGCAGTGGTGGTGGCATTGACAGTCGGCCGTGCATGGGTGGGGCACAGAGTTCTAGTCATACCCTTCCCTTCCTGGGACCTCTCTGTTCTTCCAGTCCTTAGCTTCTTGAATGTCTTGGCAGCGCCAGCTCGTAACCCTCGGTTATACCATCCATCTATGGGGAAACTTGGCCACCTTTAAGAGAATAAAATGATAATAAATATACATAACTCAGAGACAAGTCATCCTCATCTCTGTCATTTTAGGACTACCATTAGCAAGCATGCCCCAGGCAGAGTACCATATAAACCTGCCGTGGTGCTGTGGAGTGGGGAGGCCTGGGCACCCCATTCTTGCCCACTGAACTCACTACTTGAAGTCCTCTGCCTGTACACCCAGCTGGGTGGGATCCCTCACACCTGGACTGAGGACATCTGGAGATCTGGCCCCATGAGACCATCCCTGGGACTCACAGACACATCCGTGTTGGTGCTAATTGAGTTGTTTTCCTGTTTGCTAATAGTGTCAGGACTTAGGAAAACAACTGTGCTGTCTCTGGTGGTCAGGCAGTGGGAACAGGGTGGCTGCTGGGTGGATCTGATTTACACGAAAACTTTGGGCTTGAAGCATCTATCCTTTCTAAACCACACTCAGGGCCATGGTTTAATTTTAAAGCGTAAGAAGGTATTTTGTTGGAGGCCTTTGGGAATAAATGCCCTTACACAGATTAAGGACTAAGGTCCCACAACGCTGGGGTGGCTCTGCACAGTCTCCATTTCAGTAGGAGATGCTGCCTGAGGCGGGCAAAAAAGGACTGATGGAGGAGTTGACCTTACTTTCCTGGAAGACACAGGTGGGAGAGGCACTGTGATATGGGGCTGGGCATGATGGAACCGTAGGGGTGGGAAGAGGGAGAGCATTAAAAATGCTTGAGACTTGCAAATGTTAAGTTCTCAGCCTGGGTACCATTCCCATCCTGTGGAGCAGCCCAGCCTTCCCTTGGAGCTGGGCAGAAGGGAGAAAA